TTCCCCCTCAGTTGTGTCCAGGCGCCTCTGTCAGATATCATGTTGTTGTTGTTGTTGTTTGTTCCCCCTCAGTTGTGTCCAGGCGCCTCTGTCAGATATCATGAAGGGCGTTCTATAAATCTTTCCCTGACTTTGGGAGAGGCGAGCTAGAAAGTGGAAATGTGGCACTCACAATGCTGCTTTCCTGTCTCGCCACCACGCAAGTTGACACACTGTTAGCCTAACATTTGTTTGACCTTCAAAAGTCCTTGAGCTTGATATGATCTAGGATGGGACTCAACATTCATGCTCTGTAGCTAGCTGCAGATATAGCTTTCTCTGTACCATGGAGACACTGTCCTTTAAGAAGTGTTTTTTTTTCTTCAGATTTAGGACCAGACAAAAGCTAGAGGGTGGTGTATCCTGTGAGTAGGGTGGGTGTGTGGGAGAATGTCGGAGACACACTGGTTTGTGTCTGAGCTGTCTTTACCCGGTCTGTGTGATGGAGAATTGTGGTGGAGTCATGCAGCAAGATGATTCCTCTTGGCAGCTTCTGTCGTCTTTTCTTTGACACGTTAGTAGATCGTAGTCTGGTCTACAAGTCCCCAGTGACGGTCAGATGATCTGTCCCTTGTCTGAGTAAGTTTGTCATGAGCACATCCTCCCTGTCCCCAGCATACGACAACGTAAACTTTCCACTGGAAGGTTGCATCTTTGCCTTCCTTGGTGCTGGGGATGTGGAAGACGGGTTGAAGACAACCTGGTGTGAACCTCTTTGTCCGTTGACAGTTTCAAAATAAAGACTCAGTAAGGTAAACGCTTAGCAACTCAAACCCCCCCCCCAATCGCTGGTAGATCTAGTCTTCCCCACCAATAAAGACGTGTGAAAATAGAACAATATTTAAAAGATTCCATTGTTGACCTTGTTCCCATTGAAAATAGCGTTGTTGTTTTGTTTTCCAAGAAGTAAGTTCACTTAATGTACCCTCAAACTCCCTCCGCTCATCAAATTTTCCTACAACTTCACGCGCAGCGTTCTTGGAAGGTAGAAATCCCATTCTCCGCGTTTCATTGGTTGTTGTAAAACAATTCCTTCATAGTGGTCAGGGCAAAGACTTGTTGACCGCCTCTACAACTTCCGGGTGGACAAAGAGGGTACATTCTATGAACTCTTTGGGGTGGGCCTCTGTCTGCGGGCGATACTGCGTCGTCTGCTCTAGCGCCGGAGTTGTTCCTGAAGGTTCAGCGCTCTCGTCACCAG